AACACCTCTTCTCACAGCGTGGCGAGCAAGCTTCGCTACTACACCTTCATCTTCTGCAGACACGTCTACTTTAGCAGATGATGAGCTTCTTCACTTCCAGAAAAGAGCTCCTCCAAATACACAACCGTCAACCAATCCCCATCCCATACCCTCACCTATACCCTCTTCAAATCCTTCACCTCTACCCTCACCTTCTCCCTCACCAGAACCTATCCCTCAACCTCAACCAGTTACGTCCCATCCTATGGTTACAAGAAGCAGAGATGGCATTCAGAAACCTAATCCTAGATATGCCTTGTTTACCGTTAAATCCTCTTTCCCTGAACCAAAAACCGTGGCTGCTGCCCTTCAAGACCCTCTCTGGATTGAGTCTATGCTTCATGAGAAGAATAACATGACTGTTACTCACACATGGGATTTAGTTCCACCTGATCCGTCTATCACTCCAATAAGTTCTGGTTGGGTGTTTAAGTCCAAGCTCAATGCAGATGGAACTTTAAACAAACGAAAATCTCGTCTGGTTGCTAGGGGAAATGAGCAGGCAGAAGGCATTGATTTCGTTGAGACATACAGTCCCGTTGTTCGCACTGCAACAATAAGATCTGTTCTTCATGTTGCCATTGTTAAAGGCTGGAACATCAAGCAACTGGATGTTGAAAACGCCTTCTTACATGGTGATTTAAGAGAAACTGTCTATATGAAACAGCCACCAGGTCTTGAAGATCCGGAAAAACCAGGCTATGTGTGCAGACTAAGAAAAGCCATCTACGGTCTACGTCAATCTCCACGTGCTTGGTTTGATAAATTTAGTAATTTTCTGATTGAGTTTGGGTTCAGGTGTACTCATGCGGATCCTTCTCTATTTGTTTACCATCATGGTGAAGACGTTATCTACCTTCTTCTTTATGTAGACGATATGTTGTTGACTGGAAGCAATGAAGCTCTGATCCAGAAACTGATGGTTACTCTGAGTACAACCTTCCGCATGAAAGATATGGGAGAAGTTCACTATTTTCTTGGCATACAGGTTCAACGTCACAAGGATGGTCTGTTTCTTTGCCAAGAAAAATACACCATTGATCTGTTAGTTACTGCAGGAATGGCTGATTGTGCTCCTATGGAAACGCCTTTGCCTCTGCAACTTGATAAGGTCTCTGGTCAGAATGAACCTTTCTCTCAACCCACCTACTTCCGTAGCTTGGCAGGCAAGCTTCAATATCTCACTCTGACGAGACCGGATATTCAGTTCGCGGTCAATTATGTTTGCCAGAAGATGCATCAACCTACAGTTGCAGACTTCTCCAATCTGAAGCGTATCATCCGTTACTTGAAAGGTACGTTTCGTTTTGGTCTTCATATAACTGCAGAGACAAGCTTTAAACTAGTTGGCTTCAGCGATAGTGATTGGGCTGGTTGCCGTGAGACTCGACGCTCAACTGGTGGTCTGTGTACTTTCATTGGCTCGAATATCATTTCTTGGTCTGCTAAGCGACATCCTACGGTGTCAAGGTCTTCGACTGAAGCCGAGTATAGAACTCTTTCTACGGCTGCAACTGAGTTGAAATGGGTTGCGTCATTGCTTGGAGAAATGGGCATCTCTGTTCCAGACACTCCAGAGCTCTTTTGTGATAACCTCTCTGCAGTCTATCTTACCGCAAATCCAGCTCTACATAACAGGTCTAAACACTTCGACACTGATTTCCATTATGTCAGAGAAAGAGTGGCTCTTGGTGCTTTGGTGGTTAGACAAATTCCGGCTGCTCAACAACTTGCAGACATTTTCACCAAATCTCTAGCTCATCGTCCGTTTCTTTCCTTGAGAGCCAAACTTGGTGTCTCAGAATACTACGACACAAGTTTGAGGGGGTGTATGAGCCAGACAAAGCCCACGCAAGTTCAACTCCAATATACAGAGCCCACTAAGCCCATCTCTCTGCAGTCTAACGGTAACACAGAGATGAGACAAAAGACGTCAAAGCTCAGTCTTCGTACGGGTTTGACAGCAGAGCAAATCCAGCTCCATAACAGATTTGATTCCTTGACCACATGTGGTGTGACAGCTTGAGGANGCAAATCCAGCTCCATAACAGATTTGATTCCTTGACCACATGTGGTGTGACAGCTTGAGGAGTGACGTGTGTAGGTCTTATCTTGTATCTGAGACTTCCTATTTAAAGGAACGTCATTGTGTAAAGAAAGACAAGTTGAATAATATCAAAAACTGAGTTATCTTCTTCATTTGCTCTCTTTAAAGCTCTGTGCTTTCATTATTATCAGAATTCAGATTTGACGAAATATATAACTATACACGAGTAATTGAAAAAAATAGTTTCTTAACCAAGCAAGTGTGTTGCTAACTCAACTAAAAAAACACCCCAAATAAAGTTTAGAGGTCATTTGATAACTAATACTATTGCATAATGTAATTTCGGATCAGATAAATTACGAGCTTTAGAATCTCAAAGTATTAAGAAAAAAAAGTTTCTTAATTGGTTAAATTAATTAAGTTATGTCTTTTTGTAACACCATCAAAGATATGTATATGTGATACATATATTCAACTGATCAACAACTACACAGTATCCAATTTAAAAGGCTCATATAACACTAAATTATACCCTTAGAACCCCAAGTTTACTTCTAAGAGATTATGACACCCACTGCGTATATTTGTTCTTATCCTAAATATCTAGTATGTGTTAATCTTTTTTCTACGTGCCAAAACAAATAAAACAAAACTAGCTCATTCACCATTTGCAAATATATAATGAGGGCGAATATGGAACTCTGCAACTATTTATCTTTATTCCCACACATATAGATAATACTTGTCGATCAGCTAATACAAAAGACAACACAAATATGTAGAAGTACTTTAGTATCCGGTGTAATCCGACCCAACTTTTCATATGGTATATTAGTATATACCTTAAACTAGTCTGATGAATGTATTTTCTACAAAACCTCTATGCCATGTGGAATGATATCACTTTTCAGTCATGTGTTCTTTACTGTCAACTTGGGATGTTACACATTCTTTGATTTACAATAATACTCTCCTCCATTTCTCTTCTATCAGAAAGGGCTCCAACATAAACAAAATGCTTATCTTTTCTGGAGGCTCAACATATATGACATATGTAATATTCTTCCACAATTGAAAGTTATTCTAAATGAAAGGACTTCTAAACATTGCACATTAAGCAACTTATATTAATCCAAAGATGTGAATATTAGATGTTTTGTTTGGTTGGATATGATTTCCTACATGGATTTTTGTTTTATCTAAAGAATTCTTTATGATGGTTGACACCCTGTAATATACCACTATTTCAATATTCTCCACCTAATGAATGGGTTCTAATTAATGGCTATGAAGGTTTTTGCTTTATCTTTGTCCCCTCCTTTTTTCCTATCCTCAACTCGTTTCTCCTCCCTTTTTCTTCTCTTTTTCAACCAAACTTAATGCACTTCCTTATCAAATTTCTTCTATAGCATTAAGAGTTACTACACTTCCATAAATCTATGCACGCACCTCCACGCATTTGACACAACCCATACTCCTACACTCTAGTTTAGATGGTTCTAACCGTATTTAGGGCAATGACTTCTGTCACTTTATTTATTTATTTTTGGTAAAAACTTCTGTCACTTTATGAATGTAAGAACTTACATTATTAGTTAACTTTCATAAAGTACCAAACTCTGAATCCTTCTTATGTTCAAATATATTTAATTTTGGTAAATTGCTGGGAAAACTTGGTCTAAATAAGAGCGAGTCAGCGATAGAATTCACAACAACTTCCAAATTTTCTATTTTAGATAAACTATTTACCTTTATCTTACGAGTAGGATCTTTGTTTTATGTACATGCATGTAACTTTTTTTTCTTCTCGAGCAGTAGTTAGAATTTGGTGAACCATCATTCTGTGACTGTCTATTAAATTCCATTGACATAGCTTTAAATGTGGGACGAAGAAAATCCAAAACAATATGCAATTTTTATTCATAAAATACATTTAGATTTAAGTTGTTGATGATATATGACCGTGAGTCGGGACAAGCAACTGCTCCGTCAGTACTGCTGAACTAATTTTGGATAGTTTGCAAGTTAAGGTCATGTATAATTCAAGGTATGGCTTATATTTTGCAAAATATTAACTGCAGAAATTGCTTCACACAAACTAAACAAGTAGGTTGTATAAGGCATGCATGCATTGATTAATTTCCAACTACTTCAACGGCCCCGGCTTAAATCTTACAAGTTTCAGTCTATTTTTTCTTTCTTTTTTGGACATAAAATAATTAATGAACGCTAGCACAAAGTAATTTTCTTAAGAACCAAAAAGTAGATGCATTCAAGGAAAAATGAGATTATGTTGGAAGTCTTTTTCTTGGGAGGAAAAAAAAGTGCAACCAGAAAATAATATTGAAATGCTTAAAATCGTCTAACTGAAAATTCATACATTAGCCTTATTGTTGACAAAAATGTCAAACAGCATGAACCAAATAATATTGGAAAACAAAATAACTGCAGTAAATTATCAAAATATGATACCATATTTGATGTAATTACTAGCAAAATAATGTCCTGTATAATTTGAATCTAAATTTTTACAACAAAGTACAATAAAGCATTTATATTAATAATGTTAAAACTATATCTTTTGTTAATATGGTGAATTGAAATACAAATTTATTGATAAGTAGATTGAATTGAAATTTTGATTCAAAACCAATAAATACTAAGTTTTTTAAATATTACCAATTCATAAAATATTGTATTTTAAGCGGCTGTAATCAAATCAAAACAAAATTGAGAAGTACTAGCTAGTTAGTAGCATTAATTTAGGAAACAAAATGTTGAACAAGTAGTAAAAGTCGTATCTGACCAATAAAAGAACACTAAAAAACATCAAAATCAAAGGTCAAATTTAACTTTGGTATAATCCCAAGTTCTCATATGACCAAATTACCCTTCCCCCATCCATCATCTAAAAAAAAGGTCAAAAACTTCCCCACCGTCTCTCTCTTTCTCTCTGCGCAGACAAAGAAACTTTGGAGATGCTCTAAAAACTACATGTCTACAGAAGATAAGACGTGAAGATTTTCTCCACAAACTTTCAGACAAGCCCTCCCAAAAATTCTGTTTTTTATTTTTCGTTCCTTTCTATTGATTTTGAAATGGGAAGCAAATGGCGAAAAGCAAAACTAGCTTTGGGTCTAAACTTGTGTCTTTACGTTCCCAAAACGCTTGAAGAGTCTTCCTCTCTCTCGAGAAGATCCAACGACGCCGTTTCGGTTTCTCCCGTAACGGTTCCACGGCCCACGACGCCGACTCCGTCCTCCTCTGGTCTCCGGTTGCCTAGGTCCATTAGCATATCCTCATCAAAGGTTTGATTTTTTCTTTCTCAAATTTTATCTCTTTTTGCGATTTTGAAGCTTTTCTGTTTACGTTTTATTACAAAGTTTATGTTTTTTTCTTTTATATATATTTCGTGTTCATCATCTCTGTGTTTGATTCTGTTTCATTATACTAAAGGGTTGAATTTTTCCAGTCAAATTTTGTTTGTTAATTTTGAAAATTGTTTTATGGAAAATTTTAATTTTATAAATGGGTGAGTCCAAATTTTCGATATTGGGTCACCGTTGGATCGCCGGATATCTCCTCTGTGTGGTTTAAAATTTTGTGATTTGGTTAAGACAGCAAATCCAAGTGCTAATCTTTCTTGGAACCTCCAAACTTAATTTAATTTACTTTTTAATTGTTATTTGTTTACTTTATTTATTTGTTTAATCTTCAACTAATCTCTTTTTTTTTCTTAAAAGTGTTTGGATCTTCACGCACATCAAATGATCTTATGAGTAGTTTTATGTGTGACTTAACAATAATATAACTCACTTAAATTTTAAAAGAAACAGAATAATGAAGAGCAGAAGCTTAAGATAAAATGTTTCATGTGATTAGATGTGTGTTTTCAACTACTACGACCCTCATATGTTTGAGTCTATCAACTGAACCTATGCCAATGGATTGTGTTGTGTTAGAGATTTACTAGATTTTGAAAGTGTTGACCTTTCTGAAAAATATGGGTGAATTGAAAAACACATTTTTAAAGGTTAGGTGATAATGTCTTGAGAGCTAAATGGAGGGAGATATTAGTAGAAAAAAATGTAGAATGATTACTGAGACATGAGATCATTATGTGTTCATCAAGATATTGACATCATAGCTGGCTTAAGAATAAGATTGGATTCTGTTTGTTCTGTCTTTGTCCATAGTTTATAGTGCCTTCTGTTTTTTCTCCATTTTTGTATTGTTTTTGAGTGTATTATTTCTTGGTATTGTTGAAGAAAGATGAGCCATTTGTTGTGATGTAATTATCAGCTCTCCAAAATGGAGCCACTGTGGAGATAAAGTTTTTGGACAATAGTCAAGTGCACTTCAAATACCAATCTACTTTTTTTGGTTGCTTTTTTTGCATTCAACTTTTCAATTATTGTTGATTGATACCCATACCCTTCTTAGAGTTTTCAATCTACTGTTAACTAGATACTTCATCCTTAGTCCACTTTAACTTTTCTCTTCCTGATAAACATTTTTCTTGGTATAAATCGAATTAACCAAAGTTGTACTTTTAAAACATCACCAAGATAATTCTTGGTTTTTAACCATTAATTGCATTACTGTTTACATAAGCATTTGGTTTATCTTTGTGAAGAAAAACTCAATACTAATTTGATACTATTCTTTTAGAATTTTAACGCTTTCTTAAACTTTAACTTTGCTTTGCATTTACTATATATGTTTTCAAACTTTAATCTTTATGGCGTTGAATTTGCCTAAAAAGCTTTCAATTACTGATCTGGTTAACTATATCCTTTAACTTTATAAAGCTGTGTCCTTTGTCCATTGTTCTTTTAACTGTTTGACCTAATAGATTCCAAAGAAACTTTGATCAAGATTCCAAGATCCATATTCTAACAAAGAAACCAGCTTTTTTTTTCGGTCTACTATTATTGAATGGTCAAACTACTAAACTTAATGGTTAGGTTAAACTCATTCTCTGAGACTTTCTTTTCTTGGTTATTATGGTAATGGAAGATTCCATTTCTTTTTAATGTTTGCTCTTCTTTTTATGCATCATTCAATAATAGAGGCTCATAGTAACAGAAACAAATGTATCAGAGACTATGTATGACACAGACTCACTTGTGTCAGGTTTCTTTGGACTCTTGTAATTGCCAACAATGACTTGTCTCACTCTGTATTACGTGGAACCCATTTTCTTTCTCTAAAGTTAAGAATCTTTAACAAGAACCTCACTGTTTGTATTATACTTTGTGTAACTGCAGAAAACATGTGCTATATGCTTAACGGCGATGAAAGCAGGACAAGGCCACGCAATCTTCACAGCAGAATGCTCTCACTCGTTTCATTTCCACTGCATCACCACTAATGTTCAACACGGGAACCAGATTTGTCCCGTTTGTCGTGCAAAATGGAACGAAGTCCCTCTTCAGATTCCTAATGCAAAGTCTAAACCCCTTGTCAAACCTATAACTCGACCAAGAGATGATGCATGGATGACAATACCACCACGCAGGTCGTCTCTGAACCAATCTTCTCCACGTCCTGAACGTCTAAGACCTGTCTCCACGATCTTCAACAACGAGCCTGCTGTTTTCAATGACGATGAAGCTCTGGAACCTCAACACCATCCTGCTGAATCATCCAAACCTTGTGGTGTCTCTGAGAAGCTGGAAGTTAAGACATATCCAGAGGTGTCTGAAGTGTTGAGATCTGTTTCGTTTAAAGACTTCTCTGTACTGATCAACCTAAAAGCTCCTGCTGTTTCATCATCTTCCTCTTCTTCCCGTGCCCCTGTTGATCTTGTCACGGTTCTTGATGTAAGCGGAAGCATGGCGGGAACAAAGCTAGCGTTGCTGAAACGAGCAATGGGGTTTGTGATACAGAATCTTGGCCCGTTAGACCGTCTCTCAGTGATCTCTTTCTCCTCCACAGCACGACGTAACTTCCCTCTCCGTCTCATGACCGAGACAGGTAAACAAGAGGCTCTGCAAGCTGTTAACTCTTTAGTCGCAAACGGTGGGACTAACATAGCAGAAGGGTTAAAGAAAGGTGCGAGGGTTTTACTCGACCGTAGATTCAAGAACTCTGTTTCAAGCATTGTCCTCTTATCAGATGGTCAAGATACATACACCATGACTAGTCCCAACGGTTCTTCTAAAACCAAAGAAACGGATTACAAAGCCTTGCTTCCTAAAGAGATCAATGGGAACAAGATCCCGGTTCACGCGTTTGGGTTTGGCTCTGACCACGACGCTTCCTTGATGCATTCCATCGCTGAAAACTCAGGAGGGACGTTTTCTTTCATAGAGTCTGAAACTGTTATACAAGACGCCTTTGCGCAGTGTATTGGTGGTCTTCTTAGCGTCATGGTTCAAGAGCTATGCGTTAAGGTGGAATGTGTTCATCCAATGTTGAAGATTGGTTCGGTTAAATCTGGAAGCTACCGGTTTGATTCGAGAACCGGTTCGATCATAGTCGGTGATCTCTACGCAGAGGAAGAGAGGAACTTCTTGGTGAATCTTGATGTTCCTGTTGTTGATGGGGTTTTAGATACAATGTCGTTGCTTAAGGTTGGATGTGTTTATAAAGATCCGGTGACTAAAGAGACCGTTGATTTGAGTAATTCCGGCGAAGTGAAGATTCTCAGACCAGTGTTGGAGCAAAGACCTGTGGTTTCTATCGAAGTTGACAGACAGAAAATCAGATTACGTGCTGCGGAAGCAATCTCTGAAGCTAGGGTTTTAGCTGAGAGAGGAGATTTAACCGAAGCTGTTTCGGTTTTAGAGACATGTCGTGGTGTTTTGTCGGAGACTGTGTCGGGAAAAGCGGGAGATGCGTTGTGTGTGTCTTTGTGTGCAGAGCTGAAGGAGACGCAGGAGAGAATGGCGAGCCGACAAGTGTACGAGAGTTCGGGTAGGGCTTATGTACTTGCTGGTCTGAGCTCACATTCTTGGCAGAGAGCCACGGCGAGAGGTGACATGAGTGATACTACTACGATGAGTTATCAGACACAGTCGATGGTGGATATGGTGAATCTTTCTCAGACCATGACATTCGGATGCCCTAGGGATAGTTCTAATGTGAACTCGAGTTCGAATCCTAGTCCTAATCCCTCGGCTCGGAGGAGGCTCAGGCAAGCTCTCACTTTTCCGGCGAGGCCAAGAGCTAGGTGATTTGGTGGAAGCTATTTGATGATATTATGCATTTTTCATATTGTCTTTGTTTTTTGCTTATGACGATTTGTTTTTTGCAATTTGGGAGGGTAGTTTAAGTTTAGTTTTTAAAATTTTGGGGGTATAAGTTGAATGTTTAGCTTCTGGTGGGGTTGGAACAAAAAAGAAAAAGAATATGGTGCAATTGTGGAATCGGTGGTTATATATAGCCATATAGGTAATATATATATTGGCATTTTTAGCAAGACTGGCTTGTTTTTTTTTCCTTCTTATAACTTCCCCCCCCCCCCCTTAATATGTCGGATGGGGTATAAGTGTGTGTGAGTTTGTGAATCTTGTGATTGTGGAGAAAATGCTCTCCCAGAAATATTCTAAAAGTTTTTATATACGTTTACTATGTAAATTTCCATTATTTTCCAATGGGATTAGTCTCTCCCTTATACCCGTGGATCATGTGGGTGCTGTGGACTGGCCGGAATCAATTTATGTTAGAGGACAAGTCTTTTTCTGAATCAGAAATAATAATGAGAGCTATTAAGTTAGCTAAGGAGTGGCAATCCTCTCAGTCTACTTCGAAAGTTATGTCTGTTTCGTCCAAAGACGGTCCGCGCCCAAAGATATTAAGTCCTCAGGAAACTCTATTACCGGCCAATGCTATCCTCTGTTATTCCGATGGGGCATGGAGCGCTTCCAACTGTGACGGTGGGATGGGATGGATAGCAATGGATTCGGAGGGGAATACTAAGTTCCAAGGATCATCATCTCGCCATTATATAGCTTCAGCATTGATGGCAGAAGCTATGGCACTAAAATCAGGCCTGTCTATGGCTGTTTCGCTGGGGTACAAGGACGTAGTTTGTTTCTCAGACTCCAAATGTCTAGTTGGCCTATTCACAGAGAAGTCTTATGTGGTTGCTTTTCAAGGGATCCTCCATGACATCAACATGTTGAGTAGATCGCTTACTTCTATCTTTTCTAATTATGTCCCTCGTGTCTGTAATTCTGTGGCAGATCGCAGTGCGAAAGATGCTTTGTTTGTACTCTCTAACTCCCCTTCAGGGATGTTGAATGTTATTTCTGATGTTTAAGTTAATGAAGGAAAGGTTTGACCAAAAAAAACTACCTTATTTTTCAAATGTGAAATGTGTTACGTGTTCATCTGATCTGATAATTCCATTAGAAGTTACCTTACCACGAACTTATGTAAATAGCTTCCACTACTGTTATAGTGTTATGTATTTCTTAATTTTTTCTGAGTTTATCTCTTGTTATTAATTTGTTTAAAAGAGCGGTTTATCACGTTCAACCTATAAGGATATGACTATGTGTAGTTTCTAACCTAAACAGGATTTTTTTCTGCATGTCTCTTTTTTTGTCTATAGTTGCACAATGTAGCTTCAACTTATACGAAGTTGGTATTTCTGAACACAATATTAACGTCCGCGTTGATGTTGTGGCAAGACTCGTGATATAGTTTAAACTCGTTGTCTTTTGTATTTTCTACTTGAACATCCAATTGTAAACTTCGGCCTTGTTAGCCCATGATAATATGAATTCATTAGTGTGCCACCCATGAATTGTTTCGTGTTTTGGTATGGACATACAAATACATCTGTATGTACCTTGAAAGCTGGAACTGAGTAAAATATAGAATGACTTCATAGCGAATATTTTAGATAGTTTCAAAATAAAAAGTTTTTTGATATTACGTATTCATTACTTTTTATTTCTCAAATGGATCTTTTTCCCTATATTTCACTTTATTTATATTTTTTTTTAATTTGTAAAACAAAATAGACAACTTCGAAGTTCGAACATATAGTTTTTTTTTTGGTCAAGTTCGAACATATAGTTGTTTAAACAAAAATAAGAAAAATAAAAAGTACGATTTAAATTAAAAAACAAACAATATAGACCTAAACTAAAAATCGACATACGTAATTAATTTTGACGACGAGCGTCCTAGATTTTGTTTAAACAAAAAAAAGGATTACTTTCTTCTGTTCCTACAATACATACGTAATAAATTTTGTTTGATATTTAAACACTGAGGAGTGAGGACAATCGATAGACGACTGGCTCACGTGCTGCAGCCTTTGTTCTTGGATCTCAAGATCTATCTCCCAGTTCTATCAGTAAAGTCGAAGTACTTATATTTAACTGTAAAAGTCAAAAAAAAGTTAACAGTATTTTATAATAAAAGTTCAACTAAACAAGTTTACAGCATGACTCATGAATAAAAAATAATTATATGTCAGTCGAATTTAAATAGTTCCATCCACCAAAGCCCGGTCGATTAGTGAATGGCCTGGCCAACTAGGACTTATCATTTCTTTCTTTTTGTATGATGAGTCCTATTCTAGTTGTTTCGCTTTTTCCGCTTTTGTATTCCAATAAAACTTAAATTAATTCAAGTTGGGGGAAAAATAAAGAAAGAAATAAGCAAAGTGGAAACGTTTATTTTTGTTCAAATCTTCCAATAGAATAATAGATTTTGTTATAGTTTCATGGAATATTTTCTGACTCTAATCATTCACACATATTCAAAATAAGGATATATTATAGTGGAATACCAATGTTCTTTCTTCCGAATATAATCTAACATCGAGTTAAATACACAAAACTAAGCTGGAAATACGATATACTCAGAAAATGTGATAATATATACCATGTTGGAGATATCCTCATTTCATTATAATCTATCTTTGTAAGAAAAAAAGTTGTTGGTCGAAATCGTTTGTTTATGTTCATTGGACCACTATAAAAATAAACAAATGACAAATTTATAAGCTAAATAAAATCAACGACTATACCGGAACTAGCCTAATTTGAAGGAATCTTGCATAGGACCCTTATAGCCGAATAGGTCAATGGCACTGAATGCAAAGAAAAAAAGTTCGATCAATGGATGAGGAGCTTGATATTTATACCCTACATGATTTCATAAATATGATTATACTTATCAAGCAGTTATTGGATCTCTAGTTTTGATTTAACTCTTTAGATGATGACATCCTATGTAAAGAGCACAAGAGTTTTTGTGTGGTATCAATTTGACAATTCAGTATGTAGCATTTATTGTTAAGGTTGTTGGGACTTATTATCAGGGATCCGGATTCGAGATGAAAATATAATATTTGGATTGTCTAGATACGAATCCGGATAGTTAAAACTAGGATTTATCCAAACTGGATCTAAATCCGACATCATAATTTTTAGATCCACAACTATTAGAATATATTTAATTTTATTAATAACTATATTTAATATATTAATATTTATATATAAAATCAGTTTTGTGATATTATATTTTGATTTTAGTAATATTATATGCATATATGCATATATATATTCAAAATTTTGTATAAATATTTAATTTATATGTTATTTTAGAATTTTCTATTTTAAATATATTTTTATATGTTACGGATCTGAAGCTAGATACTCACGGCTATTATAATTTCAAATGGATATCCGAAGTCCAGATATCCGAAAAGCACGGATCCAGATACTAAAATCATATTATAATTATTTTTAAATAGTACTATAGCATTTTAAGCCTTTTATCAAAGTATGAATCTGTTAAACACAAACGAAAAATCACAGATCGATATCACTAATTATTTTTCAGTAATTATATTTTTTTTACATTCATGATTCATCGACTAATCATAGAATATTCCGGTTGTTCAGATCTGAATCTGGATAGTTAAAACTAGGATTTGAATTCGATATCCTATTTTTTAGGTCTGTACGTATTAAAAATATGTTTAACTTTATTAATAATTATATTTAATATATTAAGATTTATACATAAATTCTTTTTATAATATTGTATCTTAATTTTAGTAATATTATATGCATATATATATTCATAAATTTTATTAATTTATGTATTATTTTAGAGTTTTCTTTTTTTTAATATATTTTTATATTTTTTACGGATCTGAATCTAGATACTCATAGATATTTATAATCTTAAACAGATATCCGAAAAGCACGGATCCGGATACTAAAATCATATTATAACTATTTTAAAATAGTACTACAGCATTTTAAAACTTTTATTAAAGTATTAGTCTGTTAAACACAAATGACAATCACAGATCGATATCACTCATTATTTTTCAGTAATTCTATTTTTTCTACATTCATGATTCATGGAATGCATCGACTAGTTGCTTTGTAGACTGTTCGTCGATTTCTTTTTGGCTCAAGTCTTTTCTTATTTAGATACTGTAAAGTTAAGTGATTAAAAACTTGTACATTGACAGAATCATTTGTAAAATGCATTGACATGAGTATTATGCTACTCATCCAATAACTTTTTTTCTGGACAACCCATCCAAATAACAACTATACACTCTTGAAAAAAAACGCCATTGGTTATATAAATCTTATAAGCTTCATTAATATTTAACATCAGATTTTATTGTTCTTATATAAATATCATCCATATGTGAAAAGGTGTTCTTGTTTTTTTTTTTTTTTTGATAATCCAGTATCCGACCACAAAGCGTGATCGACTAGCCCACCGGGCCTAAGCCCATGCCATGACAGGATTTTTAAGCGTCCACTTAAGGGCCCCTGGTTACGCTAAGTAGTCTGGAGCGCCACACCAACTCCGCATGTAAATTATGTGGTGGCCGGGATTCGAAGTCGGGTGGCGGGCACCTCAGCCGAGGTTCCTTTACCACCAGGCTACGAAGCCCGGTTAAGGTGTTCTTGTTAGAAGAACCAACAACGTGGGAAAACCATAGGTTATCATCGAAATATGTGAGATTAATAAAAACTCTAAGCGAAATTTTACCAAAAAACTCCAAGCGAAAAGTACATCATAATTTAATAATAACGCACTAGTACCTCGACTTTGAATCAAACATACGTACACGGCATAGCACTCGTACATGGACTTTTATAAGACATGTATACACATTAGAAAGTGGTGTACTTGACACTATGATGAAGTTGACAATTTACTAAAAGCTAAGTTTGGTGAA